CACAGGCACAGCCACTCGCCGATACCTGCCGACAACCGGGAGTTGCATACCGGCTTGAGCTCTGCACTGTGAGTGAAGCTCTGCAGAAACCTGGCCCTGTCTTGTGCCTTCCCCCAAAGCCTCAGGCATGTGCCATGTTAGAGATAACTATTGATAATTACATTTAAAACTTTCATCTGCTTCTTCACATCTTCCCAGTGAACTTAATGATGGAACAAGTTGCCAGATGTTAATTATTATCATTATCAGCTCCTAGCATTTACTGTACAAAGCAGCGCTTTTCCTGGTCTCAGCACTCTGTGATTATAGCACAGAGAGAAAGGCAGGTTTATTAAAGTACCCCGCAAATGTTAGTGTTGTCATTATCCAATTAACGTTCCTCTTCACAGGATGAATATAAACCTGACAAAGACCTCTCTGAAGTGGATCTGAAAAACGCCATCCGTGTGCACCACGCCTTAGCCACGAAAGCCTCTGATTACAGCAAGAAGTCCAACGTGCTCAAGCTGAAGACAGCTGACTGGAGAGTCTTCCTCTTCCAGGCCCCGTAAGTACCAGCTCGTCCCGCAGAGCCTGGCCGGGCAGCCTGACCTCCAGCGGCTGCCAGACTCCCTCTGACCTGGCCAGATCAACACACACATTAGGGGACAAGCCTGGGGGGAGGAAGGTGCTGAGCAGGAGGGCTGAGGGTGAGGTCTGTAGGGCTGTGCAAAGGACTTGGTCATGGGGTCATGGTTTCTACCTGTCCCTCTTAGTAGCTGTGTGTCAGGCCTGGAGGTCCTTTCTCATCTGTCACCAAGGTGCGCTGAGCAGGATGGGCTGGGATGTAAAGGGCTCCCCTTACTGACTTCTGTTGTCAGTCTGTGGAGGGGAGAAAATCTATATGGTGCATTGAACTAAGAAGCTGATGGTTCCCCTCGTCAGCTTTTGATGGGGAAACTGTCTAAAGCTCATTAAAGAAGTATCTCCAGCCAGGCTATATCTTCTTTCTTCCTTAGTCCATTGCAGAGGAAAGTTGCTCTGCTAATAAGTGTCAAGTGTGATTGAGTCATCTTCTGTCTGACATTTTTCTTGTCTCCTGCTGAGATAGGTGACATTGTCTGTAAGTTGGGCTGGGATACTAATGTCAAGTTAAAACTTGGCATCTGAATTTGTGCAGTGAAAACCCACTTGAAGGCTGTGGGAAGCAGTGCCTGAACAGATCTGATGAGGGACCCTGGGCAGTGTCCCATGAATGACACGAATGAGGATTCCACCCTGCCCCGTGGGACCTCTGTTGTGTGGCTCCCACTCTCCAAAGAGCAGGATATCCTTGGCCCTTGCCACCATGCTGGCCCTCCCCAGCTCCTCAGGGAATGCAATCAGAGCTGATGAGGAAGGCAGGACAGCCAGGGCTTCAAGAAGCAGACAACAGCCCTGAAATCATTAGGGCTCTGTAGAGGAGCCAATTAGCCAGTGTTTTCCGCTGTTCACAACCCAGGGTGGCACAGAAATGGCTTCAAAGCAAGGCCACCGATGGCCCTTCTGAAAGCAGGTGGCTCCAGGGCTGTTCTGAGCTGGCTGGTCCTGGGTCAGAAGCATTTACAGACACCCTCTCTCTTCTCCCCTCCTCCGTAACAGAAGTAAGGAAGAAATGCTCTCCTGGATCCTGCGAATCAACCTTGTTGCTGCCATTTTCTCTGCCCCAGCCTTCCCAGCTGCCATCTGCTCCATGAAGAAGTTCTGCCGCCCACTCCTGCCTTCGTCCATGACCAAGCTGTGCCAGGTAACGTGTGAGAGAAGGAACGATGCGGGGGTGCACGGCGCTCAGCCAGCCCTTCAGCACGCAGCTCAGGCTGAGCCCGTCTGCAGCTCCCCCAGCTCCTGCCTGATAGACACATTCAGGTGCTCAGGGCAGGAACAGAGGAGCGGAGTGGGCGACTTGGGCAGACCGTGGCAAATCCCGATGTCTGGCCAATGCTTCCTTTGCAGTGGCTATAAAGCAACCCTATGCACAGACACCTACCTGTACGGCTGTTGATTCTGGCTTGTTTATTGCTCTTTGCCCATCACATCCCAGCCCCTTTCTGTTGCCAGTTGAAACAGCTGGTGCTACTGAGCCCAACAGCTGGCTACAGCCCTGGTTTATTTTATAACATGGCACTCAGAGGTGGCACCCTGTTGTTTCTCAAGCTGAAAAGCCACAGACAAAGTGGGAGTCTGAGTCCCCACTCAGTGGGGAAGGTTTTCTGGAAGCAAGGGGGCACGGTGCACCAGACCATGGCTGCCTAAGGCTCAGTTAACCAAGAGCAATGGGCAGCTGCCATCCAAAGAGTAGCTTTTGTTTGCACTGTCCAGGGAAAGCCCAACACGCCTTAGCACCTCCAAAAAGTAGGGGGACACTGCCACTGGCCCCCAGCAAAGGGGAGGACAGCCTGAAATGTCAGGGCAGAGATACAGCTCCGATCTGCAAAAAATCAGGGCAGAAATACATCTCCGATCTGGTGAACCAGATGTGGCCAGATGTCGCCTTTCTCAGAGCCCAGATGGGGAGGGTACTTTTATCTCAAAAAAGAGCGGGATGAGCAGCTCTTGGGACACTGCTGGTTCTGCCTGGCTGTTAAGGATGCAGAGCGTTTCATGTTTATGATGCTAAAGAAGGCCAGGTGCCAGAGAAATCCACTCTTGGCACTTGCGATGCATGAGTTTTGATCTTACTCAAATACCTGTTTCAGCTGCTCCTTATCAGATGAATTGTACTGCACACCTTTGGCTCCAGCACAATAGCTAAGCTTATGTCCTTGCAGAGACAGATCCCATATCAACAGGCAGGCGGTGCACTTAGGTGTTGCACTCCTACATTTTAATACCTACATTTTAATACCTGACACGCTTCTCTCGGCAGGAGGAACAGCTGAGGTCTCATGAAAATAAAATGAAGCAGATTGCAGATGAATTAGCAGAGCATAAATTACATCCTGTGGAGAAGAGCCTCAAGTCAAAAGAGGCTGAGGAATACAGACTCAAAGAACATTACCTAATATTTGAGGTAAAGGAACTTTCATCTTTTCTGTGATAAATGATACCTTGGCTGATTGAGGAGAACTAAGAACTCCAGAGTGGATGCTGTGAGCCTGGGAGAGCGTGAAAGGAGAGAGGACGAGGGCTTACAAGCTGGATGGGTGTCTTGGGGCAGCAGCAAGCCTCACTGTTTTGCACTGAAGCTAAAAAAAGAAATAACAGACATTTCCTCCCCTCTGTGATTTCAAACCAGAGGAGGGGAAAACTGATGAGAGAAATAAAATCTTCCTTTACTGTGCTAAAACTTGACATTTCCTCAGGTCCCAAGTAAGAAAGTGGTTCAGTTCTCGGTGTGCATCAGTCTTTTTCAGCAACATTAATAGAAAGCTAAGGGAATCCCTGGGAGAATTAATCTTGTTTTGCTGCAACCAGTTCCATAAATAAAGCCAAAACCAGCGTTACAGCTGATTACAGACTCTTTGAGGATGCATGTAGCTAAGTTTAAACTCTCTGTAAAGTCTAAGAAGCATTTAAGTGTGGGAGAAATGGGATATTTTGTTCCAGTGAGAGTTAAGCAGAAGGTGTGATTCCTGCCACTTACGTGTCAGTGGGAAGGGACTGCTGGAGGCCTCTAGTCCTGCTTCCAGCAGGAGCTTCGATTATTCCCAGTATTAGCCCGGGCTGAGTGTGTCATTTTGTGGCCGAGTCTCAGAAATCTCCAAGGATGGGAATGTCCCACCTCTCGCATACCGGGGCTGCACCACCCTTTTGTAATGCCCAGCCTGACTCTCCAAAGCCACAGGTTCTGGCTGCTGGTTCCTTTGTCTTTGTACCAACCCTTCAAATAGTTGCTTGCTGCTGCCTCCTGTTTTCCGGACATCTTGTTTTGGACGCCTGCAGAGAAGTCTCCATCTGAGCGTTTTCTCTAGGCTGCCTTTTCAGTCTGCAAGGATAAGTTGGCACTTCCAGAGCATTCATCTCATGTGTCTTATGAGATGTGCTCTAGAAATGCTTGTTGCTCTGTGCTGACAAAGAAGCGAGTATAGGCTGTTATGACATGTTAGGGGAAAGGATGAGTATTACACAAGTCCGTAAAAAGAGGTCCCATCTAGCCTTGGAATAAAGGTGCTAGACAGAGAGGAGATGCCTCCCTTTATGCTGTGCTCTGTGAGGAGCAATGGGGACACAAATCCAGTGACAAGTGAATCACTGGATGGAAACAATGGCAAGCAGAAGTATTTGAATCAATCGAGGGGAGCTCCTAAATCAGGAAAGAGCAGATCTGTTGGTTCTGGTTTTGCCTCCAGTATCTGCCTTATGCAATCAGAGTGGTAGTCAAGACCTGTAAGAGCAGCTGGAGAGTCTTGCACAACCCTCCCCTTTCTCCTCAACCCTTTCAACGATGGGTTGATCAGTCTTCGCAGGCTTTGCATAGGCCAGGCACTGTGCTGTGGTTAAACAGTACTTGTTGGGTATGATTAGTGGGATCCTGACGATATAGGATGGGTTTTCCTGCAGTAGCAGATGGCATTGCCTCTGCTTTCCACGCATGCCGTGGCCTGTCCCTGTTCCCAGGCTCTCTGTTCCCTCTTCCCCTGCAGAAGAGTCGCTATGAGACATATATCAACCTGCTGTGCATGAAGATAAAAGTCGGGACAGATGACCTGGAGAGAATTGAAACCAGTTTCTTCAAGGTGGAAGCTGACGACATTGCTTTGCGGAAGACACATTCAAGCCCTTCCTTGAGCCAAGGGCACATGTCCATCAGCTGTAAGGCAGAAAAGGACATTTTAGAGCAGAACACTTAACAAGGAATGTGTGCACAGAGTGGATGAACCGGCGATGCTTTGCGCTCCTGGACTAGATCGATGAGCACAATTTTACCTAGGAAATTACATGAGCAAAACCGTAGACATGTATGACACGGTGATTGCTCTAGTGAAAGAAATCAAAGAAGCTTTAGTTGACACTCTCTGGCAACGCTCTGGCATTTCAGCATCATAGACACGCCATCTCTTCTTCATCCCCAACAGCACCAGTGGCTTTTCTTTCCCTCCTACAGCAGCCTGCACAACAACGGGATATGCTGGTTCTCCAAGGGCCAGGTTGCTCTTTTCTCCACCAGCTTTCTCTCTCCTCCTCCTCCTCTCCCTGGAGTCCCCACCGCTTCATGTCCACGGTTCCTGGCAGTGCAGGAAACTCAGCCAAGACAACGGTCTGTGGCACCACCAGCGCTCCCAGAGAAGGGCACAGAGTGGCAGGGAGCACATCCCTCCCGTGAGAGGAGCACCGTTCAGCACGTCGTGGTAGGACAGGTGTCATGAGCTAGTCACCGACCGAGCGAGGGGCGTCTTCAGCACGGCATGTGGGAATGTCATCTGCCCACGGCAGGAGAGGCTTGAAGTGCCCCCTGTCACCTTATCCTTTTTTTATATATATATATATATATACATATGAATATATATAAATAAATATATATATATAAGGAAACTTTAACGTGGGTTTTTAACCTCAGTGTGCAAGTGAAGGCAAGCTGCCTGGGGAAGACACTAGGGACCATGGAGGGTCTGACCAGCCCACCAGGATATTTTAAAAAATGCAGTAGCCTATGTATCTTTTTTTTCTCCTTTTTTTACTCAAATGGAAATCCCACCTGGCTTTGCTGTGAAACATCGCTCTTCTGTTCCTGCTTGTTCAGACAAACTGACCGAGTGGCTACTTATTTAGCATCCATGGCATCCGCCACTTTGGGTTCGAGTCACAGTTGGAGCCATGCTTCAGATCCAGCTGAACCTTTGTGTGCAGGAGCGATTCCACCCGCCTGCCAATGTACTTCCTCCATTTTGCGATGCACATGCTATACTCTTTTAAGCGGGGAATTGTGTTTCTGTTCCTTTCTGCTGTCTGTGGTCCAATGATTTACTGTTGTGCTAGAAGTGATTCCTCTGCATTTCAATGCTACGACTGTCCTCCCACACTTTATTTATTTATTTCACTGTTTGGTTTGGTCCTTTATCTCAGATTGCTTTTCTTTCCCCTAGGTGCATTCACAGTAATCAAGTTCCAGTTCTGAAGGATCTTGTAGCTGCTAATTACAGTCATTTATTGTTTATATTTTGCAGCATTTTTTTAAACAAACAAAATAAGATTTATTTGGACCTTCAACGTTTGAGACCCTATGGACTACTGTTTTCCATGATGGTTCATGACACTAAAAACCTCTGCCCAACTTTGTCACCTCTTCTTTTATCTGTGTTTCTTTGTACAGTTTGATAGTTTATTTGAAATGATGCACTAAGAATCATGTAAAAAAGAATAACAATAAAGCTGAATCTGTTGGTAAAGAGAATTGGGCTGAAGTACAGTTACACCGTGTGCTGGATTAATCCCAGACTTCACGGCACTAGGTGGACAGATCTCCACCAGCGCCTGCAGCGTGAAAGCCAGGTTCCTATGGAAAGCACCACAAAATCGCAGTGCCTTTCCACGAGTAGGGTACCAGCCCACCCATCCTCCTGGGTACTGAAAGCACCGGCCTGCCCATGCTTTGGATGGATGGCTCACCTGTGGAGCAGGTGTGGACAGATGGGCCGCTTTAGGAACATATTCAGGTAACTCTTCCCTCTGTCTGCTGCATCCCAGGTCTGTCTGTCCACATGCAGCCTAGAGGTTTATGGGAGGAGAAAGATACCAACATCTGTGTTGGTGGTTGGAGATGTTCTGGGAACTGTCCCAGAGGAGCCCATGGCTATATTGAGTGTCATGGCCGTTTCTCCAAGGCAACATGTGCTTTGCTGTGTCAGGTACTGTACAGACATCCCTTGCACTGAAGACCTCCAAGATGCTGCTACTCACATGAAGCGTCTGGTGCCCAGACTCACACAGTGGAAGCCCGGGGGAAAGCCAGGCCTGACTCTTGCTCTCCAAAATCCCAGGTAATATTTTGTACCTCAGCCTGTCCTTTCTGACCATCCCCTCCAGCAGGCAGGGACATCTCCAGTGTGTTTGAGGAAGCCACCAAAAGCAGCTCAGCCCCCCATGCTGAAGGTGCCAGTCTGCCATCCTCGGTCGGGAGTAAGTTGCAGGGAAAAGCAGGATCTTGCAAAATCTCCTCTGGGCACCAGGAAAGGGTGTCAGAGCCATGAGACTCACCACCCAATGGATGTGGAAAGGGGTGGGAGCCAGTGTTAAACAGCCCTTGGCAAGACAGCTAAGAGGGTTAAACTTGCACTGACTGACAACCAGCAGCTTGCCCTGAGGCACAAGTGCTGATCCGGGTGCATATGCACGTGCAGATGTGGTGAGCATCTTACCTACAAGAGGGCACTGAGCACACCCAAAAATGCCTTGTTTGACCAACCTGCAGCCTCAGCTTGTGACCAGGAAGAAAAAGCTTTTTTTCTAAAAAAAATTCCCCTCCCTGGAGGTGAAGGACTCAGCTACTCACCACTAAGAGAGAAGAGCAGCATCTCAGAGGAATTAAGCAGCCACATCTTTTTCTCTTCCTGGAGGTACCCAAGTGCACTTTCTGGCAGAGCCCCAGCCTGTGCCAGGCCCTCCAGCAGGCAGCACGGCTGCTCTGGGTCTCAGACAGCATCCCCTGAGGGTGCTGGCTCAGCCTGACCTTCCTGCCAGGCCCCTTCTTCTGGATACAACCTGACACCAAATTCATTTTAGAAAGACTTTTTTTGGGGGGAGGCTTTGCAATCCCAAAACCAGGATCTGATGCTCCTCTCCTGCTTGCGTCACCCCATCTGTCAGCGGAGCAATTCCCTCCCCTTTGGGAAGGGTGGCGAAGGCATTGCACATGCGGAGCAGAGCTGGCAGGAGGCTGCGGTGGCTCCCCCCACCTGTGAAAATTGCTGTAAAATATTTACAGCCAAACCCTAGGAATACACATGGCTGGAAATGAGGGGGTCTAAAAATAAACCAGCCAGGGAAAAAAGGAGAGAGATACAGGCTTCCTTCAGAGGCAATTGGAGAGAAAATTGAAGTAGTGTAACTGCCTCCAAATATAGAACACAATTACGGGAATCAAGGGGCATGCTGAACAAGAAATCACCGCAAGAAATCATGAGGCTGCCATGTCTCAGAGCTGGTGGTGTCTCAGCAGATGCAGAGCATCACAGATCCCTGCAAACATGGAGCAGTAAAACATTCCCCTGCGTGGGGCAGCGCTGGGCAAACCCGCAGCTCCTTTCCGAGGGGCCCAGCGAGCAGACCGCAATGGTGATGCCTGGTGTGGATCAGCTGCGCTGGGCACACCCCGAGGTTCAGCCACACCGTCCCTCTGCACCTTAGCCCAGAGCACGGCAGCAGGAGGCCCAAGAGCTGCAGCCTTCTCGTAATGCAGATGCTGCTGTGCCAACCCCGCGTGGTCATCCCCATGAACAGAGCTCACCAGCTCACAGACGCTGAGGAGAGCCAGGCAGGAAGATGGGGTTGCTTTGGGAACCCAAAGGCCCGCCCATCTCTCTCTTCTATGTGGCTGGCCTTCCCAGGAATCCTCATGCTCCGTGACCTCCCGCGCGTGTCCCTTCCAGGGGGTCAGGTGCTCTCTGCCCATCTCACCACGCTCCAGGAGCTGCTGGAGGAGATAGAAGTTGAGAGACCAAAGGCAATGGGGAGTCGCAGCCTGTCCCGAGAGTAATGGGAGGGTGGAGAGCTGCACAGTACTGCTGCTTTCATCCAGCAAGTCTTGGGACTGTGCAGAATTGGGACATGACGTGTCCAAAGGTTACATGGCAAACGTCACCCAAATCAGGACTTGACCCTACTGCCTTTATCCCCAGTCCTAGACATCTAAGACCTCCTTTGCACATTGCTGTTGGATCACATGGGCGCTGTGGCAGGAGGGCAGGCTCCTTTAGCCTTTAACCTTTTGGGAAATCAGTGTTGAGAGGCCTTTATTCAAGGTGACGTGCTGAGCCCTCTAGTGTGGCTGGAGTCCCCACAGCACATGCGATGGATGTTAGGGGTAGCCTTGTGACCCAGTCAGGTCAGCTCCAAGGCAATGGGCATCCTGGGGGTGTTGGAGAAGCGGCCCAGGCTGTGGGTGTGCTTAGCCTGGCCGTCAGCATGGGCATCATTGTGAGGACCGGGGACTTCTCTCATGGCTCTGTGCATTCCTATGGCGTCGACTCAGACCAGTGTGTAGCCGATCCCTCTCCTACTGTGTGAGTTCAGCTGGGACTTCTGGGCACCTGTTCATCTCACTGAGCAGAAACAAGGGAGTGGGGTCCGAGCTGGACTGAGCCATGGGTGCAAACTCAGGAACTGTGCTTCCTGTGAATACACCATATTCTCAGTGATTCCCCTACACGGGGGCTAGCCAGAGACACAGACTTGCCATGGAAGAGCTGAAGGGACCTGTTTTGTGGGTGGGCAGATGTTGCACGGCAGCGCAGCGCTTGCAGAATTGGACCCAACACATCTCCACTCTACTGCAAAAGTCACTGAAATCGGTGCCAGCATGTGAAGCACGTGCCATGCATCTTGGCCTTCCTTGGCACAACAGAAAGCTTCCGCAGGTGGGGTGAAGGGGGATCTCCCGGTCTGCAGGTGGAGAAGGAATGGCATCCCCCCCAGGAGACATGTGGGTAGCATCCACTCACCTTAGTGAGCCTCCACTCACCTTAGTGAGCCTCCACTCCGGAGCCCTGCAGTGAAGGTCAAATGTCCATGACAGGTAGAAAACCACCCACCTCTGGGTCTCTACGGGCATAAAGATGTTTACAGAACCAGAGCATCGTTCATATGAGGAGAGGCTGAGAGCTGGGACTGTTCAGCCTGGAGAAGAGAAGGCTCAGGGGGATCTTATCCATGTGTATAAATACCTGATGGGAGGCAATGAAGAAGAGGGAGCTGGACTCTTCTCAGTAGTGTCCAGTGACAGGACCGGAGGCAATGGGCACAGATTAAAAAATAGGAAATTCAGTCTGAACACAAGAAAACACTTTTTTGCTTTGAGGGTAGCCAAGCACTGGCAGAGGTTGCCCAGAGAAGTTGTGGTGCCACCATCTCTGGAGATATTCAAAACCTGACTGGGTACAGTCCTGGGCAACTGGCTCTGGGTGAGCTGGTTGAGCAGGGGAGTTGGACCAGGTGACCTCCAGAAGTCTCTTCCAACCTCAACCAGTCTGTGATTCTGTGTATGGTACCTGTCAGCTCCCCATTTGCCCCCCAAGTTGCCTGAGATTAACGCAGCCCACAGTTTGTTATTTCTTATTTTATTTATAATATAAAAAATGTTCAAGTGTTAAACAGTCGAGAGTTCTGACATTCAGACAATCCAGAGCAAACTTTGACAATCATCTTATGACAAATTAGCAGAGTTTTCTATCTGACCCCATCATGGGTGAGGAATAGAGGGTTTAGTTACTTTATTGCTAAAAGTTAAATGAAATACACTGTCAATTGTTGTATTATCTTCTCAGTCACAGCTTCACCATGCATCCAATCTACAGTATCTGAAATGCAAAGGACATGCAGAAGTAAAAATATAAAAAGAAAAAAGTCAGGCTACAATGTAAACAGGTTTGCTGCAGAGAACTGAGGAGAGAGGGGCACTTCCACGGGGGATGCTCTGCCGCCTGGACACGCAGGACTGTCTCTTTGCGCCACAGAGCCGATGGCGAGAGCTGCTCCGAGTTCGGAAACACGACGTCCATCATCGATGGCAAGATGTGACGGTAACAACTGTCTTTACAATATACGGCACGGCAGTACAGAAGAATCCGCTCGCTGGGCTGCCCCACGCAGGGCCCTTCCCGGCCAATGCAGGGGACGGCCACTGCGGGGGAGACAAGCGGGGCCAAAAGTGCTCGGGCTCCTGCCAAACCCCGGGGCAGCATGGCCGGCAGCTGCCTGGCACGGCGTCCAGGGCAAGCCTCGGCTGTGCTGTGCTGCGGGGCCGCCCTCCGGCTGTCCTCCCAGCACCACCTGAACCACGGACGAGCACGGGTGGCAGGACGCCACAGCCCCGGCAGCCCTACGGCACCACGGCCCACATCACCACGGCCAACGCCGCACCGCGGCTACACCACTCGGTCAAGGGGACGCCGCGGCCAGCACGGCACCGGTATGGCAATGCAGCCACGGGGCACCGCAGCTGAATGGAGACCGCCCTGCTGGGACCACCGCGCAGTGCCGTCTGCCTGCCAGGGCTGGCTTCAGTGAACTGGATTCAACCGTACGTAATGGGGTATGATTTCACCACGTTCATACAGGTGTCTGCCTTGTTTGACTACAAACCTGTGCCAACCCAACTTCAGACCCACAGGTGAAATGGCCAAAGGTTGAGAGCTATATTGTAAGGGCTGCTGCTGCTGCGCGATTTCATTTTCTCTTCCTACCTGTGTGGCAAAAGAAACATTATTTCTGCATTTCAGCACGGTGCTGTTGGGTTTCTTTTTCTCCTGATTTAAGCGAAAATACAAGTATTTTACAGGGCAAGACAGATCCCCATTAGACATGATAATGGAAATGCTCCCACTCATGTCCTTGATGTGTGTTTAAACGATACCTTAAAGAATAAGATCATTAATAGCAGGGTACGGGGCAAAGTGGCGAGGCTGTTTTCTTCCGACAGAAGAGCGCCCTTGTGACAGGTTGTCTCCCAAACAAAAATCTATGATCTTAAAAATGCTACTGAAACAGAATCCTCGGCATGAATCCCAGCACTAGCATACAGCAAAAGGCACCACGATAGTTTTGTTTTCTATTTTTAAGTAGTCAAAAATTGGCCCACTTTTTTTTTAACTTTATTGTTTGTTTTCTTTTCTTCTTCTTTTTTTTTTTTTTTTACTTTTTTTTTTCTCGGAAGCTGTAAATCAAGACATTACATATAAATAGAGATTCCCTATAAAAAAGTCATTGCCATTAGCTATTATAAGACAACTTTGCTAAAATGAAAATAAAACATTTTATTTGTTATATTTTTCCCTCTTTTATATAAAATAAAAATATTTATTTTTGTTTTGTTTTGTCTCGTCTCCCTCCTCGGCCTCCTCCATGCGGGTTACGTCTGCGGGTGCGTGAGTCTGGGAGGCGCCTAGAGAGGATCCGGGTCCGGTTTGGGCGTCGTGTGCGCCAGGCTGCTGCGCCCGCTCTCCCCGGGAGCGCTGTGCCTGCTGCAGGAGTAGTGAGTCCGGCTGTCGCCCGGCCGGTGGAGCGGGGGCGACTCTGTGTGCGCCGCCTCATTGTTCTGAGTGCTTAGGAAGGGGGTGCTCTCAGCCACCAGCTCCTCGTCAGACTCGCTGTAAGAGGCGCTGCTCAAGGAGAAGGAGTCCCGGACGGCTCTGGCTCTGTGAGGGACGTGCCCGTTCAGTTTGGATTTTTTCCACCGCCTGTTGCTGCTGGCTGTTTTCTTTGGCTGCTCTAGCGCTGTGACATACTCCTGCGTCGTCTCATACTCATCGTCCTCCGTGATCCGGAAGGGGCTGGAGGGCAGGCTCCCCATGCTGTCGTTTAGGTAGGTCTTCCTTTGGTAGTAGCTGTCGTACCTCTGCGTGTCCTGGAAGGGGAGCTGGTACCGCCGCAGGAGGGGCTGCTGTTCCTCCACGCGGAAGCTGATGGGGGCCGCCGGGGGCAAGGAGACGGCGTGTGCCGAGTTGGGGGAGGTGATCTCAAAGGTGGGCACCTGCGCAGCCATCGAGTAGTGGAAGTCGACAGGCGACAGGCGTGCTGGTGTGGTCAGGGCCGACACGTACCTGAAAGAAGCAACACCTCTGTTTGGACACCGAACAACCCCAAAAACCTCCAGCTGTGCCCACGCTCTGCCGAACACGGTGCAGGGACCCATGAGGCCTCCAGTGCACCTAGTCCTGGAGCTCGGCATCTCCTGGGGAACCAGGCGGAGGGACCTTGCACCGCTGTGCCAAGGGAGGATGAGCTGCTGGCTTCGGTGGGCACTAGGGCACCATGCACCATGCATCCCAGGACTGCCTGTTTCAATAATTAACTTGCGAGTTAATTTCAATAATAAACTTGCGAGGGACTCAGTGTGCAATTCCTACCCTGCATCACTGCAAACCTTACAGCATCTCCCAGCAGGCTGAGTCAAGACTTCCCTGCCTCTTGTCTGCCTGCCAGCTGCTTTCTGTTCCCTCTGGAGCTGCCAGGCTTGTCTCCGAGGAAGGTCCCCGAAATGCCCTCCCAGGGCATCCAGGCTCAGCCCACAGATGGGGAAAGCCTGGGTATTGCTTCCTCTGACTTAGCAAAAATCTTGTGTCTCAAAAAGGCATCTACTGCTTTCATCTACTCTAGTGACAACATCAGTGTGGCAACTCAGGTCTGGTCTAGCCCCTCTCAAAAAGCCCTTCCTTCGGCATCATCTCTTTCTAAGGAGCAGATTTCATTTCCTCTCAATAGTGCCAACTGGTGTCACCGCTCATTTCAGGCTGCCCAGGCTCCCTGGCTCATCCGGTGCCTTTTTACCCATGTTTCTTGTGAAGTATGAGACGTCTGTATGAGCTGGGTCAGCCTGCCTGAACAGACCGGGGACAGGAATGAGAGAGCAGGAGATGCTGCCTTTCTCCTCTGCCCCATGGATAAGTCCCACTGCCTTGAAGGGTAACTGCCCGAAAGTGGCCGTGTGGCCACCCAAGGTCACCCATGGCTACCCACAAAGGGCTGGAGCAAGGGTAGAGATGTGCTGCTGCACCATGAGGAACCAGACCTGGGAAGAGGATGATTGTTGCTGCCTCTCACTGGCTGATGGTGTCTCAGCTCTGCAGTTGTGCTCCCCAGAAGGCTGGGTCATACAGACCCCTGTCCCAAGGCTGTGCCCACATACAGCAACCCGCTTACCAGGCCATCCAGGACTCCGCTGAGGATGCACATCTTTTCCCCATATACCTGGGGGCCAGACCCTGCTTGAGCTGCCAGCCCACCAAGCTGTCTGGGCTGTGCTCTCAGAGAGTTTTTCTTCACCAGTTGCTGACTTGCAGCCAGGTATTTTCTGCTCCTCTCATCCCTGTGCTCCAAACCTACACTGCCACCAGCTGAGCAGGGTGCAGTACTTGCTGCTGCCCCTACCAGGGAGGCCTCCTGGGGTAGTGGCTTCCTCTGGTAGGACCAGAGCTGGAATTTCTCCAGTGCTACCACGGGACTGCTGCTCTAGGGCTGGGCAGAGGCAAACATTTTTGTGTCCAGCACAGAGGGCATGGCTCGCTTCTGCTGTGCCAGGGCAGCACCAAGCAGTGGGATCTGACCTCTCGCTGTGCGGTGAGTCCCGCAGAGAATCCACGGAGTCACGATACTGCGTCATGGGCCTCCGCGCATCCTCAATGCAGAAGGCGGCCCCGCGGCGAGCCCGTGCCTCCACGCACGCAGGGCTGTTGCATTTACTGGTTCCCACTGAGGACAGCATTATCCCAGACTGGGAATCTGAAGTCAGGCTCTCCGTCCGCTCCAAGCTCCAGGTGTGGCTTTCATGTCTGTGGACCAAACCCCATATGGACAGTGAGCAAGGAATCCCCACCAAGGTCTTCTCCAAAGAGCTGCATGCAGGCACAGCTCACACTCTGCTCCACACTGGCATCCCCTTTCTCTCTCTCACTAGGATACATCTGGCCAGGGATGCCCAACTTCCCAACCCTGCCTTTGATTTGCCTTTCTTTGCTACTTCTTGGAGATATGATTAGAGGGTAAAGAAAGGCAAACTAGTGCATACCGGGTACTTATCACACCACCTCCTGATGGCTGGGGACAGGACGGGACAGCCTCTGGAGGGAGGCCAGGGCAATTCTGCTTTGTGCTTGCAAAGCGTTCTGGGTGTGGAGCAACGCACTGGCCGTACCAAGGATCTTCAAATGTACCATCTGCATTGCCAAGTGACAGCCCCTTCAGAAATGCTACCAGAAAGGAGCCAGAAAAAAAACCACTCAAAATTACATCAGCAGCAGCAGAGAAAAGCATACCAAAGGTAGATCTAGTTGTTCAGTTTCCACTGGTTTCTAAAAGATTTTGGCAGCAAAACTCTTTCAAGGTGCTAGACAAAAACTATGATGTGTTGGCTAGACCTGGCTGAGCACTTGGAGCTCCACCTGCCCTAGTCTTGGTGCAAAGAAGACATCCCGCAAGGACTCACCAGGGACGCGTGGGGCCATGCGCACACCGGGGGCCCACCTGCAGCACGGCCACCAGGCTGACCCCTCTCCATAGCAGAAATAGTGATCCATTAGAGCAATAGCTCTGAACTGCCGAACTGCACCAGATGGAGCTATGCCGGCAGAGGATTTTGGGTGGGGGTTTGCAGAGGAAAGCAGGCCTCATTACGACTTCCCAAGAACCTGTTAATTATTGACGGCTCCAGGCACATGCTTGGCTGCAACCACCGCACTCATTTATAACTTCAAACAGCGTCCTCATTAGAGGCACTGATGGAGTAAAATGGAGCCTGATTATGCCAGTAGTTTGCCTCCGGCATGACTTGAAGAAACACCTGCTTGCCGCACTTGACTCAGGCAGATTAGGTGGCAGGTAGCCAGGACCAGAGGCTATGCAAGGTAGGTGCCTCCCCACAGCTGCCATGTGTTAATAATGCTGCCCTCCAGACACACGTTTGCATCTTCAGGAGGTGCCCAGAGATGGCCCCGGGGTCCCAGACTTTGACGTGAGCATGGAAGGCCAGCAAGGAACAGCTCTGCAGGCACAGGAGCCTCTGTGCGCCTGGTTCAAGCTTGCACACACCTAGCCAGGGTTGGGCTGCAGCTTACAAATTCAAAAAACCTAGGAAACACACCATCTAACTCACCAGGGGTAGGATTTCCCCAGACAAAAGCAGTCATTTCCAGCCCAGCAAGTCATTCTTGGCTCCCTCTCCACTTGTTGGAGGTCTAGCCAGAGGAGTCTGGGGAGGAATTCACCTGAAAACCTAAGTTCAATATCTGAAGTTGATCTGACGCATTGTACACCGAGAGTATTTGCTCATCCCTGATGAATGCCTGAACCCTGAAGAAACCTGCCAGGAGCCATCTTTGAGCTTTAGCTGAAAGGATTCATTGCTTCCTGGACAAATGGAGACAAACACATTGGGCTAATGAAGTAAATAAGCCAGGACATCTTTTGCTTTATAAAGTCGGTGCAATGTGATCTATACGTCATTGACAGGCTGTAGATATGGCCCCCCGGCACCTCGCAGTCACTCTTTGAAGGCAAGTGCTCTCATAGGGAAACACCATCACTTACTGGAAGAAGCACAAGAGCTATGTACGAGGAAAAACCTGAACATCCAAACTCAAAACAGCACAGGATTTTCTCTAGAGCATTTGAAGGACTTTTCTGGACATCATAAAAATAGGGAAGTTCCATCTGCAATTTAAATGCTCTTAAAAACCATGAGAACTTCAGCTTCCAAGCCATGCTGCTCTTCCCCCTGAAGGCTATTTTGAAATGTAAAGAAAATTATACCTCATCCTTTATAGCAAGAATTATTGGTACTTTCCTGCTAGCCCCAGTTTTCCTGAGAGCTTCAGAAAGACTTCCAGTGAAAGAGGCGCCACCACCGCAGAGGCTGAAATTCTAACGCAACTTTCTGGACTGTGATAAATTGCACATAAATTTTTCTGGTGAAAAACTGTGACTCCCAAGTCAGATCCTAACTTTGAGGAACTGGCCAAAACATTTTGTGATATTTTGTGTACTTTGCCTTCCACAAGGCAAATACATGCTAAATATATCAAGCATGAAATTAATAACCTGTGTGTGCTTAATGAATTATTGCAGGTGTCCAGCGTGGTTGCAAACACAACTTGCAAAACCTTTCCTAGATGCATCCTCCTGTTTGTGTCTGTGCAAAGCATGAAGGCACAACTTCATTTCCTCCTAGTTTCCAGCTATGTCAGCGCTGCAGGTTTCTGCTGGCACCTCGCTGCAGGTCAAGGATCACACCTTTCCACACCTCTCACTAACTAGCTGTGCCAGCAAAGACCCACAGTGTCGACACGGCCTGTATGCCAGTGTAGTGCCAAACACCAAGTGAAATCAGAAAGGGAGGTGAAAGGGAAACCTTTTACTGTTTTTGAATCTCACAGCATCCTAAGGCAAACAGCAGGAGAAAGTTCAGGGGAAAATGGTATACATCACCTCTGGCTGGACGTTGGAGTGGCTGTGGAGCAGTGATGAGATGGGGAGCAGGAGTGACTTCCTGAAAAGGTTGTCTCTGTTTCCCTTCGGATCACATGCTCGGTGGCAGAAACATTCTTAGAAATATACTGTAAAATATGAAGAATCACACAGATCAGCCACCAGCTTGCCAATGCTGCCACAGCCAAATTCAGCTGGTTTGATTATTTCTGGTGAAATCAAATGAGGACTGAGTGAACCCAGCGGCTCCGCACTCCACGGAAAGAGACAAAGAGGCTGGAGGCTCTTCTCTGCCCCTGCACTTTGAACACTGGAAAAGGGCCGTGGCACGGGGACTGCAGAAGGGTATGAAGAGCCAAGGGGTTCCCCAGAGGACAGTGGTACCACATGTAGCTACTGAGCAGAAAAACATCTCTGCTCACAGAAGGTTATACACCTGAGAGACTACCAGCAAAAAGACAACCACATGAGATCTGCCAGCGATACGAGTCCTACAGAAACACCAGTTGTAATCCAAATATTTATGCTGAGATATTCATCTAACAAGAAGCACTGCTTTTCACAGGGACACTAAGCTCTCTGGGACAGTCAGTACTTTGGGGTCAGAGGGCTGTGGTTCTTAGAAATTCCCTTTCCCTCTTCCTTCATGGCTGGGATTCAACCTAGCTAAATTTTAACATCCAAAGGGTAACCCAGCAGAGCTTGTAACTGATTCATTGTACTCATTTCTATCAATACTTCTTTTTGTTTGGCTCTGCCTTCCCCCTCCCTTTTTCTGACCCCTTTCAATGCCTTGGTCCAGTAAGGCACTTAAGAATGTTGATGGTCCTATTGAGTTCACGGAGTTTGATGGGAATCTCATGTGACTGAAGTCACGAGAGTGGCTGAACCACCCTCTGGATCCAGTCCTAAATTCTTGGATTGTTCTCATTGGCGTGACACTGGCACCCCACCAGGACATTCCACCTTGCCCAGGACACAATTCTTGGTACGGGCAGGTGGGCTAACGCAGCGCTGACCAGATCACCATGACATGCTTCAGCACGACACGGTCACCACGGCGGCTCCAGCCACCGCCACGCTGATAGCATTTGTCATGCCGCAAAGTGGGGCTTAACGGGATAGCTTAATAAACAGGAAACATCGGGAACATCTCTCTTAGAGGAAAACAGGATCACACTTGATTCATCAAAACAAGCCCGTCCCAAGTGCCCTAACCTCATCCTGTGCTTCAAAGTAAAATCACATTTCCCTTCAGATGTTAGTTTTGGAAATGTTTCTATGCAGAATCTCATCTTTTTGTTCAAGTTTGTTAGTGTTTTGCTCTTCATGCACATGCACACAGGTGTGTAAGCATACACATCCACGTCAAATGCCTGGCAGAAAATAGGCACTCAGTAATATGCAGGGAGATGGAGACAAAAGGTCTTACATCGGCCATTTGGATTTCCTCAGGATCCAAACGTGGATGGCTTGGCCCGTTTGCAAGGCTCCTGTTCTGATGGGCAGGGCACATGTTCTGCCGTAAATGATTATGCATTTGTTTTCTTTGTTTCCTTTAAAACAGAAAGGAAAAAATCTATTAGGAAGACTTATTTCATGGGGCTCTGCCCCCAGGGACACCTGGGGGATGCAGATGATAGAGAAGGCAAGTCTCAGACACACTTGATGTTTCAATCGTGTTTGTGGAAAGCTGCAAACAGGAAGAAACAAGGCATTCAACATTTGCCACCTTTTGCTGCTGTTTCAAAAAAAAGGTGAACATTTCTCACCATGGGCAATTTGGGAAGCTGGGTCCAGGGTCCCCTTTTGCAAGACAAGGCCCAGCACAATGCAGTGGGAGCCAGGGGCACCATGGCGCTGGGAGCGGAGGAGAAAAGCGGGGAGAAGGAAAAGGGGAAGCAGGTCCTGGCTTGGCCTTGGTGGAAAGACACTGGACCTCTCCTGCATTAAGCACAAAGTGGCAAAGCCTACCCGTTGCCCCTGGCGGGGCATCCACTCCACAAGACCCCCCGTGTCACAGGGGCACCCTGAACTGAGGTGAGGTGCAGGCTAAGTAGGGAAAAAGGTGCTGTCCAGGCAGGGAAGGCTGGCCATAAAAGAGGTCCCCAAGCCTCTTGTTCCATCAAGATTGCTCTGAAAGTCCCTGAAACGTACATAGCTGAGCCCACAGCTCCTGCACAACAGCCCATTGTGCTTCTGCTGTCAGGAGGTGAGCTGCTGGCTTGGGGGCCAGCTTTTCCCAGTAACACAGCATCACCTGGCTGGGTGAAATGATGCTGATTCAGGGGATAAGCAAATGGTCCGAGGAAAACATCCTGCTCAGGCACAGCCTGGGAGATGGCTTCACTTGACCTCCTTCATGAGACCTTCCTGGGAATACCACAGCACAGCATCTCCTTAAAATAGCATTTGGGTGAAGAGCATGAAAGCGTGAAGCATGAACACTACGACTCAGTAATCTCTGGCCAGTTATTGTCTGTTAACCACCCATACTCACTTGGTTTTACAGTAAGCTACCACACAGACGATGCCCACCACAAGCAAGGCAACACAGATTCCTGTGATGGTTAAAACTCTCTTCTGGTAGAGCTCTTCCGCTTCTGCAAATGGAGAGAAAGAAACCAGTTACAAATGGGCTCCAGCACCAGGGATGCGTCTGGCTGCACAGGAACCAGCACTGCGTGTGCGTAAGACGGAGAACAGGGCTCGGTCAGATCTCCTACCAATCCACTGCCCGTCTCTAATAGCTGCCCCAAACCTGAGACCATCTGGCCCAACCTTACTCACCCCTCAAGAGACCTTCACTCCTTTTGTCTCTCTGCACCTTTGCCCTGTCTCGCTCAGTAGCTCACCCCTTCTGCGCTCAAACACGCTTCTTGCTTTCTCTTCTTTTCCCGCAGCGTAACTTGGTGACTAATCTCAAAAAGCTCCACGACTCTCCTCTCCCTTCCAGCAGACCCCCCCTTCTCGGTAACTTAGTAGCCTACCAAGGAAGTCCCCGAGCATCCCCCACTCACCACGTACATGCATGCCCTGTGATGCTCTCATCACAGGCTCTCTGCTCTGACGGACTCAGAATGCCTTTTCCTTGCAGCGGCTGCATGCCCTGGAGCTCGGCGGTGTGCTAGAAACCACCGAGCAACAGGCCCCAAAGCATGTAGGTGCTGAAAGGGACATCCTAAAACAGTCAAAAAGCAGAATGAGGATGGAAAACTGATAGCGCATTAGACAAAGAAAAGGGAGTGGAGTAATTAAAATACAGTAACCAGTTACAGTTATGGATTTTTAATGAAACCCTAGGAAGCCATTAATTCCATTGTACCAGGTAACTCAGATGCACACACAAAATTCAAGCAGCATGCTGCTGCTTCTCTCAAATATCACCATTTGTCATGGACCACCTTTCAAACCAGAAAAGTCTGTCACTTGCATAAAACTCAGACCATGCTGGAAGTGAGGTAATTCATTCACATTAATCAAAGCTCTAAGAAAATGCGAGGGCGTCGCCTGCAGTGTAACTGAACTACACTTAGGCAGCAATCACACGTCAAGGACGCCTCTTCCTCTGTGGCTACACCAGAGCAGATGCTCTTCTCGGCGACATCCAGCAATCTCCAGTGATTTGGCAATTTGGTTCTCCAGCTGGATGACTCAGAGAAGAACACAGTGCACAGCTGCCATGAGCATTTTAGTTCAGCATCTATGAATGGTGTCCTTGTGCCCCCATACTATGTGTTAATATTAAAGTTATCAGGGTATGTGCCTTATTTAATATTAATTGAAATCTTTTTTCATATACATTAGGCAATAAAACTCATGCCATGGTTGCTGTGCTTGGCATGGTTCACCATGCCACACTAAATACCTTGAATGGACTATGTGATATCCCCAGTGCTACCAAACAATGAAATACAAAACCAGAAGAGAAACAGTTCTGGTCCCAGAAATGCCTGGGACTAGACTTTAGCAAAAAAGCAAGGGGGAAGCAATGAAACATTCCAGATAACTGAATATTTAGACCAATTTCAGCTTGCCATTTTAGGAAGGAAAAAGTATTTTTGGAAGAAAAAGTGCTAGGAAAAATGTTTATCTCTTTCTAACTCTCAAAATGGGAATGAAGATTTGCTAAACAAGGGCTGAGAATGACAGCCCTGGCATGAAGATGCGAAACATAATCAGCAGAGCTTGCTTCGTGCCTGTGCTGCAGTTTAAAGAAATACATTTCCATCTGTTTTATTTGCGCACTGGCCTTTGGCTTCATGAGGTGCTCAGGGTGCTGGTGGAGTTGCCAGGAAGGCAATGTCCCGCCGTTCGCTAGAGAGGCGGGCAGCTGAGGCTCTCCCAGACTCCATCTCCACGGTGTTGTGGACCAGGAAGACCGTGGGTCTCACTTGGGCTGAAAGTTACTGCACCGCAGCAGCTTCACCAGCCGGCTGCACCTCCGTAGAGGCAGAGCCTGTATGGCCTGGGGCCTGCTCACGGAGCGGGGTTTAGGTGCTGGCTGACCTTGTGTTTTACTACAAGGAACCAGGTGGAGCTGGCATGGGGAAAGAACTCACTCGGGGGTGAAACACCTCCTTCAGCGACGTGTTTCCCTTGCACGGATGCCCTATTCCAGGCATCAGCAACCATGGCAGACAAGTTTTCTTGCTCTTGCACACCTCTGGGACCTGGATTCCAGCTGTACAGCTCTTTCCTTCAAACAGGAGTTTCAGAGATTTTATCAGAATCAGGAAAACCAGCTAGGATCATGTCCTGGTTACGGATAGCACCGGGCAAGAATTTTGCTACTACCCAGAAAAAACTACTTTAACCACAAAAAATAAGGCTGGGCAGGAGGTCCGTTTTCACCCTGGACCCGTCCATCAAGCCAATTTTTTCAAAGATTCTTCATCAGCTATGTTTTTTGCTACAAAGACGTTTTTTCCAAGCATAAATCTTTCCCTTTGAATCATGGAGGAGGGAGAAAGAGCAAAGCCATCAAAACTATGGCTTCTTTTTTTTTACCTATTACCTACAC